CTTTTGTTGTTTAAAAAAAAAAAAAAAAAAAATCTTAGATCGAGATAGAAGTCCTTATTTTAAAATGCTGTAGTCAATATTGGATAATTTAATTGCTACTTGTGATCTTAACCCATTTATTTTAAGAAATTAATATATTAATTTGTCCAATATGTATATACTGATGGGGAAATCAAAATTACTGTGTGTTGCGTATTGTGATCGGGTTGTTCTCCTTTTAGGACATGTGACTTACTATAACCAAGGTCATTCCATTTACTGTCTATGCACGAAGAATAAATAAGAAAGCGCGAAGACAATTTTTGAGCATGTTTTCTCGACAAAGAATTATTGTGATTTTTTTCCTTTTCCCCTCTCACTTCTCAAATATGCGTTCATTTCATATTCGCTGCACGCATGGAAGTATTTTTTACTCAGTTACGCTCGGTTGTTATCTCTCAAACAACTCTTTTACTTATAAAGTGTTGCGAGAATTCCGCGGTTATTGGCTGCACAAACAAGTTCTCTCGCTGTGAATGTCAAGGCAAAAACGCATGGAATAGTAACATCGTAGAAATTTTCTAATCTCGTGTTTTGCTTCGTAATAGCTCCACTATCGCGACTTACTAAAAATTTATACTCCTCATTTATAGAGAGCCAGCAAACAAACAAAAGATAAATAAGAAACCTGTTGATGCCGAGTTCAGTGCTAGATACATAGAAACTGAATGTGAAGCGGTATTTTTTGGTAGTGTAGCATATATACACTAAAGATAGTGGCCAGAAAATAAACGAAATTAAAGAAAATAATAAAAAAGTAAGTGATATAAATGAAATTTTTAAATAAAAGAAAGTAAATAAATAAATAAAAGATCCGAAAATAATAAGAAAATAAACAACTACATCTGTCCTCTTTCAACGAAAGTTTGATGTATGAACATCTAAACAAAATAAATTTGTACTTTCTGTAAGTGGGAAACTTTTTCATTTATTTATTTATTTTTACTGTTTTCGTGAAACACAGTGGTGTTGTACACAGAACGAAAATTGCGACATCTTATAAGGCGTTTGTCATCCTTTCACAATTCATTATGTTCAAGGACATCAGTTGTCCTGTTTCTTGTTTGGGATGCTATTTCGCTGCAAGCCATGGAAATATTACATAAAAGATTATCTCTGTTACATCAATGAACTGACTTTCAGGTAATATTGCAATGTTTCATACTGATCTTCCGCAAATGTCGACTTTAATGTTACTATTCCAGAAAACATAACATAATCCGTTAGCAGCCAAGTTTTCACTGAACTAATTTGCTGTTGGAAAATTAGTTCTATACAAACGAAAAGAATTTCTTAGTTTTAAAGTAACTTCTTAATTGATAGGTAACATAATAGATTTTTTTTTTTTTACTAGAGCTGTTAAACAAACGATTCGCAGTCTTAAAACTATAATGCATTATCTTATCTTAATAAAAAAAATTAAATATTCCAAAATAAAATGTAGTACATGACTTTTTTATGAAGTTTTCAAACAAATTTGTATTAAAAAATAAATTACTATTGTCACGCGTACTTATCTTCGATAAAGTAGATGCTGGGTAATAAATATTTATAATATTTTGCAAATAATATAATATAATAATATTTATATAAAATATTTATTTAATATATTTATTTACTACTTAATTTTACAAATTTTTCCCGCGTCTGTTTCGATTTTTTAAATTTATTAATGTATGGAAGTGATCACAGATCAATTTTTTGTTTTAAACTCTATATTTCTTTTAAAATACAAAAAATTAAAATCTTTTATACTTTTCTTATTACTTAGAAACAATTTATCAAATTTTTTACGGTTATCTGCTAAAACCATTCATCATTTATTAGATATTTGAGTTGGCAAATTCTCCAGCGCCGCGACTGAAAACTTAAGACTAATCCTAAAATATCGTTCCCCCTCAATAATAGAAAACATGGACAGCGAGTCCTTAGTATAGCTGTACTTTGCTCTTTTACTTTAAGATCATACTGTCATGAATCATTATCAATAAACTGATGTATATAAATAATCGTTATTAAACCAACTTCTATTTATTAAATTTATGTGTAATTTTTCGTACAAATTTATGGGTACAATTTAACATACACGAAAAGCAGTATTCATTAAAACCAGTTGTAATTATAAGCAGAATGATTTCATATGACAGCAATCGGTTTTATAGGTGAAAAAAAGAACATGAAAATTTGGTTGTCATTCTGGATGTTAGTCATTAATCGAGGAAAATGAAATAGTGCCAGTGGAGGAAGAAATAACCAGGAAACTCATCACTTATTAACATATAAATTCCTAATATTTATAAGAACAACGAACTGATACTGTGATGCTAATCATTAAATGAGAATGAATCTTAACGATGATCCATTCTCAGTCATGGACTGAAAGGCATCAACTGTAAAATCAGCATTACCACCGGTTGAAGTACATCAGTAGTCATTACGAGCAGTCAGAAATGAATTATGTTGATTCATATCGCTATAATATTACTACATACTGTCAACATAAAGCAGCATTATAATTGGTTGAAATTAATTTGACAGCATAAGTTATGCAAACACAATTCCATCATCAAAACTAATAAATAAAATAAAATGAAATGTAATAGTCATAGTAATTTTGTCTTTATGCTCCCGTATTCAGTGTCAATCACTATGCAAATTAGAATTTTTGATACCGAAGAGTTTAAAACGTAAATTTATTGCTTGAATTTCATTTGCACAGAATCGTGGGCCAAAAATCTACGAAAGTATTTATTGTCTGCTATAAGTTATCAAAGCCTAGCGTTTAATGTCTTTATTAATCTGATCATTGATAAATCAACAAAAAAGACTCAAGATCAGTTTGGAAAGGAATTCAAGAGAAGGAATCTTAGTCGAAAGTAGTCGACATTATAGCAAAGAGATTTTAATATCGATTGTCCAAAACTGAGAATGAATATTGCCGAATTGCTTGGCTTTTGCACATCTTTATTTTAACAATTATTGCAAACTTTTAGCTATATTAATCTATGAAAATCCCAAAGTTGTAAAAAAAAATTCTGCTTCTTTTTCCTTAGGTTTTTTCTGCTTATAGTTCATTTTAATTTCGATAGTAATCGGTTATTTTTAATCAGATATTAAAACCACAGAATTCAATTTCTTGTTTTAAACTATGCAGAAATCATATGCAGGATCATTGGTATAAACAGTAGTTTAGTAATTTAATAATTTTAATATATATATAATATTGAATTAACCAAAAGTGATATATATATATAAAGTATGTATGTTTTTATATATACATAGACATATCACGGGATTTTATCAAGATTCTGGTAAAGAATATGCAACTTGCAAGTGTTGAATATTGAACACATTGACAGTGTATTAATGTTCATTGCAAGTATAATAAAGACTTGTTGCGTCATTAATGGCACGATGAAAATTATCTTTCTCTGCAGACAGCAAATATCGATATGAATATAAATATAATAATAGCCAACAGATGCAAATTGTTTAGTTATGGTTTGCCACTCAAATGGCATTTCATTTTGACCCAAGATATAACATGAATAATCTATTTTGTAATACAAGTTTGCAATTTACAATACGATTTATCTAATGACGATTACGGTACTCTATTGGAATAACGATACTCTTGTAATAATAGTTGGCGATTATATGTGTACGAACACTAAATATACAATACTACACAAAAGATATAATTTCTTATGGAATTACGCCGTAAATTTACATAATATCTAGCGATGCATTATTCGAATATCATAAAGTGCTAAAATACAATTGATCTTTTTAACATCCGAAACGTAGTTATTAAAGTAGCATTCATTAAACATGATGTGACATTTTATCTAATTGCTTTTAGAAAAAACACCATTTAAATAAACGACTGTGTGTAAAAAAGTGGTTACCTTTTAAGACCAGGTTATTAATTTGTAAAATTATTGATGTAACGGAAAATAGATATGTGCAAAAAATATTCCAGTATAAGCTGAATTTGAATCTTTATGATTTATAGATGCGTAATAAAATATTTATCAAAGCTAATTAAACATAATATAAAAAGCTTTAAATTCCATTAGAATATACAGGCAGATTTATGATTCTCCATTCGAAAAAGAGTTTTTTCGTTTAAAATAAATAAATTAATAAAAATAATAAAATGTACACAAATAGCTGTTTTCCATTTAAAGAGCATTTTTAGTAAAATAAAATCAAAATAAATTGAGTTTAATAGGCACCCAGTGTGTTTTTTGAGATTAAAAAGAAATTGATACAATTTAACATTAAATAAATTAGAGAAGCTAGGTAATAAAGATAAAACTATATAAACTGGAAAAAAAACGGTCAAATCTAAAACTACTGGACGTCGCAAATTATTATTCATTTATTTATCTATTTTTCTACTTCCTCAACTAGCAATATGACAGCTTTGCTTTAATTATCCCCCTCCCCCCAAAAAAAATTCTTCGTTTTTTTAATGCTCCGATATTTAATCTTTTATATTCATTATAAAATTAAAACTGAAATTTTTATTTCCAACAGAAAAATATTTCAGTCAATCAACATGTCTTTTTAAATTTCGGCAGTAAAAGAAAATAAAGGTTTAAAAAAAAGTAACTGATAATATACATAATTCATGAAATGTAATAAAAAATTAGAGTTGGAAAACACAATCATCTGGGAAAAAATAAATAAATAAATAAATAAATAAAAAAAAAAAAAAAAAAATTCTGGAAAAAATTTCTGCTTCGAAATATTCCAAATACACTCAAGGAATTGCATGTTAAAAATTATTTAAAGCTGGAAATTACCATAAAATTGTAATTTTAATAGACATTTAACAAAAGAAGATGCGTTGTACCAAAGTTATTTACATTTGTTAAAATCTAAACGGATAAAAGATATCCTCATCCTTGAAAATAATTAAATTTATAATAAAAAATTAAGCGGTTGTGACTTACCATGCTGTTGTTCATCATGCGCTCTTATTTGCCAGGAGGAACTACGCAATCAAGAAAACAAAAGTCCAGCGGTCCGTGGTGGCTGAGAAATAAAAAATTCCTTCCGGTGTAGAGCTCAACTTGGTGGGTCACTGTGTGATCTGAAATTTCACCGCCAGAGGTCACTCACACTCTTTAGCGGACTGGTAAAGTCTCTCGACCCCACTGCTAGGGTCTACTTTCAGAATTTTCTCCCTACAGAGTTCTTAAAAATCGTTCTATTATGCTTTCCTTAATTGGATTTGTCATTCTGTGATTCGTCGAAACGGCTTTTCACTTCGCAAAGAAAAGGATCATATATTATTGGTAGATTTCAAGGACAGTACTTGAAAATACTGACTTCAGTTTCCCAAATATGTTTTAGTTAGGCAGTTAGTTAAAAGAATCTGCAATCATTTACTTGAGAACACAGTTAGCATTTGTTTTGCTTCTAAATAACTTACCAGATTTCTCTCCAGCTTGTTAAACTAAACATCAACAAAGTAATCCATGAGCTATATTTGTTAATTATGATGAAAACTTCCTCAGTGACACCAAAGCTTATATAATAATCACCAAACTTCTGGAGCATTAAAATCGTATTTACACAAAACGATGTTAACAACTTTAGAACCTTCCGCAGTTAAAAAAAAAAAACGTCCGAGAGAAAAAAAATCACAACCGAGTCGTAATTAACTTACTTCCAAGTTGCTGAATAAAATCCGAACATTTGTTAAGAAATCTTCTGTGTTTTCTTTGTTGCAGTTGCGCAACAGATCACTCAAGATTAGTCCAGAACAATCCAACTCTTGCAGCAAAAGCTATCCGAATTGAAGTGGTACCCCAACCATTCAATCAATTTTGGGTTTGTTTGAGAAAAATGAAGCTACGTTTTGAGTATGTGGAATCTCGGAGGAAGGGAGTCGTAGTAGCGGAGAGGTGGGGGAAGAGAAAAGGATGGCGCTGGTATATATAATCGGCAATTTTCATCGGTAGGATTTGCTAAGCCGTGTTGTTTTCCGCACCATGCATAGAGTCAATTTCTCGAATGGGTAATTCTGAAGTATGCAAGTTGAAGTCTCGCACGTTTTTCTGCTATCAGAAGGTGGAAGGTGTTTGCTTTTTGGAATTTCTCTTCTTTATTTTAAAGGATTTTCCTCGCTTTTCTTTATTAAAGATGGTTTTAAAGAGTTCTGAAGCGTGCTCAAGTTTGTCCAACCACTTCCTCGTGTATGTCCTTCCGCAAATTTCCGTACACAATTCGAAGGTATTGCAGCAAAAGAATTTATTGATCCGAACTTAAAACAATCATTGAAATAATATATGAATGCTTACTAAATTTCATAAAATGTACTTCTGATAGCTTGAAGGAAATTTTTGCTTCACAGACGATCCGTTTTACTTCTAAGAACGCCAGTTTAATATCTGCCAAAAGACTGCTTTCTTTCTCTTCCAATATATTAATTTCTAATAAATTGACTATTTATATTTTAGGCGCATCTAGAATCCTAGATCCAAAAGATCGGAAAACACTCTTTTTCTTGCTGAACTCTATATTTTTTTTAGTTCAATATTCATTCTTTATCTTTACTTTTTTACTTTTCTAAAACTTTTCGAGACCAGTCTTTATTTTCGTGCAGCTTTTTAAAAGTGACGGATGATTTCTTTCTTTTTTTCTAGTCTTTTTGAACTTGAAAGAAAATTCCTTGTCTTTTAAATTCAATTCCAGAAACTATTTTTTGTCTCTTCAGTGAAAACAGTCTTATTGAGAAGATTTAAGAAATGCTTCAGTTAAAAGCAAACAATCAATTTGTTATTAAACCAAAAGATAATTATTTATAAACCCAAGTTTACTTTTCCATTTCCACTTAAGAAAAACGAATTTCATTTCGGAATTTTAAATGCGAAACTTTTTATATCTAAAGAAATATTTCCAGTACAATAATACCTTGTTAGGAAAACTGTCTTGTATGATTCATTTTTCTTTCCAGAAAACCAAAAAATAGTCTATTCCTAATCCGGAAATCCAAATGGTATGATAATTTATGCTGTAGAAATTTCTAAACACAAGAAAATTTATCCGCTATTTTCTTCTCACTATACTTTTCATCGCATAATTTGTTTTTCGTAAGAATTAATTTATTTCATACACCATATATCCTTTTGGACAAAGCACAATATTTTATGAATCAAGCAAGAAGGGAAAAAAATCCTGATCGGATAAATAACACGCAGCTCAGTATTCTGCCAGATACCGCGAGTTATTTATAATCAAGCTATCCATAATCATAAATAGCTACTCACTCCGTTGATGCTGCCAGTTTATCCATCTATTGTCATATGAACGCGCGCAAATGGTTTTGTGTACCTAGCCGAAAAAGCGCGCCGAAGCGGTCGCAAATTCTTTCAAAGTAGATTTGCGCCAATCACCTGCGCCGTTGACTTAACAACCCGGTGTTACCCTTCCGGCAAAGTGATCTTTTTTTGCACGCCATTTCGGGACTGAGAGAATTCGAACTCGGTATAATTATACCTTTTGTCGATTTTCTTGTTATATATAGGATGCATTTTTAATTGTGCTGGTTGTCTAGCACTGATTCTTCTTTTGTCTTTTTATTTAAAAAAAATTATTTTGTTATATTCTCAATTTTTATTAATATTTGAAAACAGTGTATATTGATAATCAGAGTTTTAATTACCAGCGTACAAATGTGAGCCATTTAAAAATAATATATACATTTTTAAAAGCATTTTGATATTCACCGGTTAGGAGGAATGATTATTAAAATTTATGTGCTTAGTATAATTAATAAAAGACATTTTACAATATTTCGTCTGCATCATGCCTAATAAATAAAATCCTTTTGCAAAATACATATTAAAGTTTTTTATGTTTTTTAAACCAAATTTCCTCCTGTTGTTTGTATTTTATTAAAAGTCAACAATGGCGTATTTATACTTAAAAAAAGAATAGAGACAACTGAACTCTTTGCATTTCGTAAAAGATCGATTCGAGGAAATTGCTGTTTTTATAACTTCTATTTTATAATTTATACATCATGGGCGAAGAACTATATATTGAACTAAAATTCACTGCGTCGATCTAACACGTTGACGAAAAACCACCTTAAAATTTTGTTCTTTTCTGTTTCAATAAAATCTCCTCTATTATAAATAAACATCGTTACCAATCAACGGTAAGATCTTTCTTTCATTCTTAGCATCATGCTTTGGTCACAACAGCTTAAGTTAGCAATTTAAAAAAAGGTTCTTTTACTTAAATTTTTCAATGACTTCTTTAAACAAGTATTATTTTATACATGAACTTCGAAATGAAATGAAATATGTTTCAAAGGCCCACAAGGTCGACTGCAGAATTTCTATTTTGTATCTACTATCGTCTGCATCAAAGTAAAATCTAATGGTTTCATGAATTTTTGGAATATCATACAGTTTGCAGCCCCTATACATGTCTTTCTTTTTTCTTATATATGTATGCGTGTAAAATATAAAATATGAAACAAACTTATCAAATTTAATTGGAACCATTTGGTAATAGACCATCAAATTTATAAATTTTAATTAAACGTATGCTTGTTTCAAAGGATACACTTTGCTGCTTCATTCTGCAGCATACTACGTCACATTTTCCTTGCAGTTTCTCCAGCCGAATCTATCCAGAAATCTCTCCAGCCGCTGGGTAGGAAAATACAAAGACTTTTCGGCTATAAATACGACCACAGTAAGTACGCATGACCACAGGACATACATGGAATTTTCTGCTTATCTACTTGCGTGCTGAAACACACGTGACACTTGACCATATCCCTCTCCTGGCATCTTCCAGTCCTTGCCCGTCCTAGCCCCCCGTGAGAATTCTACAAAGTAATGTATTCTAAACTTAGAGAGCCAGAAAACGTCCTGCATATTGCACAATATTCGCGGCATAACAGCGGAACTTGGAATTTGGAACGCATTACCTTTTTCTCGCCTGCTGTTGCATGAATGAAAACGCGTCTCTCGATTTGCCTCTTTTCTCAATTTTTCTCCTTTCTCTAATCTCTATCAAATTAGTTATATAGAAATTATGGGGCGCGTTTAGAATCTGTACTGTGATACCAACTTAAGCAAAAATGTATTTCTAGAGAAATTTTCCTGATTACAAAGTTCTTTTTTATTTAAAATTCTTTTTTTTTATTAAAAAATTCTTTTTTTATTTATATACTTACTTTGTTTTATATTGTTTATTGATTTACTTATCTATTTTTCAATTTCAATACAGTTTTACAAACATATATATGTAAATAATTTATACCAAATACTTAATAGATCTACTAGATATTTTAATAGATTCTTACGCCTCATACTTCGAGAATACCTTCTGTCTTCATTTCAAGGCGTTAATATTTAATCGAAGAATAAAACGCAAGTTATTGATGTTCTTGTTATTGCTATTATTGTTAGTACCAGCAATACTAAAACAGTTTTTGTTACAATTATTTATGTAAGTTACTTTATTCGAATTTATAACAGAAAAAACTAATTCTTTTCGCAATATACAGGGTCATCAAAAAATAATGGCAGGATTACGAAATTGTATTACACACACAAAATAAATAAATAAATAAATGCACGGGAATATTTTATTACTATATTCAAAAACTTATAACGTTTCGTATATATTTCAGTGCCGCATAACCGGTGCAGTGGTTAGTGACGCTGACTGTCTCACCGAAAATCCCTGGTTCGAATCCCGGAGAAGGCCTGGATGTTTGTAAATGTATAATGTCTGTAAGGCATGGGGGCACTCTAAATATGCGGCGATCCCATATAAGTCCTCTCGAGAGGTTGTGGTAGAGGAAGAGGGGCTAGAAAATTCTCTTAGGATCCGTACCCTTCTTAGGTACCTTCGGACCCGTACCCTTCTTAGGTGGCCGCAGGCCACGAAAGCCCTATCTCAGGCTAACAAGATATGTGATAAATGTAGCATGAAAACGTAACGTATAAATAATATAATAACGTATAATAAGCAGAATAGTCCTTGAAGCAAGTCCTTTTAGGGTGGAAAAAAAGATGGCAAAAAGTATAAAGCCTATACGAAATGAAACATGTCCGTCGATGTCGAGCTTGTACAAAAAGCATAGATGGAGAAGTGGGAGCAATGAGATGGATCAAATGGTGCACGTGATTGAAGGTTTAACGAATGGCAGACGAAAGCTTAGCTTTTGGCTGAAAATAAGGAAAGCACCAGAGCACAGAAAACTACAGCCTTGTTCCAAATAATAAAGTACAAATAATAATACAAACAGAAATAACATGTTACAACAGCTTATAAGAGCCTACAAGTAAAATAAATAAAAACACACGGGGTTGTTCTCCATCAAATCTTGACAAAATGAATTTCGTGGGCTTTTTCAGATATTACTGTCAGACAAGTCACAACAACGTACATTTTAGTCGGTTTCGTTACTTGCACCATTAGCTGCTCGATAGATGTTTTGTTAAATATTTCGACATATATTCGACAACGTTATTTAATTTCAGTCCCTTGTCTTTTGTAGCCATCTGCGGAGTTTCAAGTGCAGTTGCTATTCGACGTTTTAGGTGGCTGCTATTGGTAATATTTTCATTGTGCAAAGCTGTAAGATTTGTGTTTCAGGGTGCTGTGGGATTTGGTTGCCCTGTAAAATCCATGAGTTGAAGAATTCCTGGATTGGACGGGCAGCGTCCCTGGATTGGACGGGATTTCTTGTATACAATTTAAACACAATTATTTCTTTAAGTTTAAAATTTCAGTATATGGTACGGTTGCGAAATTCCGATATTCTTTTTCGATGACACTGTATACTGTAATGCGTACATTAACAAATAAGATACCCAAATTTTTATAGCGTACAATGTATAAAAAACCTTTGCAGCTTGAAAGAAAATATTACTATTATTAGCCCAAAGGGAGTTAGCCCAGAAGGGCTATTAATTTCATTTTGGCGTTTTGCGTTGGTTCAGTATAAATGTCGGTTCACTTTTCAAATTTTTGCCACCAAATATTAGAGCCTTGTGTTATATTTAAAGAAATTAAATAATGAAGAATCTGCATGAAAATATGTATGTTTCTCGTATTGTGATAAAACAACGGTACCTAGAGCCATCATATTTTGAATGATGTAATTTTCCACTGAATATGGGCATCTGGAAGCACAAATTTTAAATTTATTTTATTATCGATTTCATATTTTGTAACCTGTATGGTGTAACCCTTTAACGAAGTTTTGATTAACAAACTCAACGCTTTCAAAGCGAGCAACAGCAATATTGTAGGGAGAAAAAAAATTATCTCCAGCGTGCGAGAGTATATATCGGAAATTCTAAAGATATACTCATGCGATATTGTTGCGAAAAAAAATTATCTCCATCGTGCGAGAGTATATATCGGAATTTCTAAAGATATACTCATGCGATATTGTTGTTGAGTTCAAGTGAGAAGAACAAATTATGTAATAAATAAAGTTAGTACACAAAACCTTGAAAAAAGTCCCTTTGGGCGTCACGTAAAATCTGAAAGCTTTCAGATTTTATTATTATTTTAAATTTAGCTGCAATGTTTTATTCCAAGAGGTAGAAAATTTCCTTTAATTTCTAAAAAATTATAAAACATTTGGAACTATCACAGTAAACCCATGTTATTATTTATATAGTAAAATCTCTTCTGATAAAGCTTGAGTTAAGTTGCATCTGTAGTCACAACTAATATCTCTAGTTACTAAGCGGTGAAATCATTAAACATCTGTTAACCAAAGTTCAAATCCCCACCAACGGGCTGGCTTCAAGAGAGTTTTCGTGGTTTTCTCATGTGCAGTAGTTTTCCTTAGGCAGATATCCCTCATGTGCTTCCCGTAAACAATATGATAGAATTCTATTAAAATAAATAAATGAAACCTAGATACTGAAAACACGCAATCTATCATTTATTTGACGAAGAGTTTTTGCCGCCAGTCTTTTATCGCTACCATGTGGTTGTTTTCACTGATTGCAAAGAGAGCATCATAAGAGTTAGCGTTACCGTGACCTCCTACGTGCTATTCATTACCACCCTTTAAAGTATAATTTCCCACACCCTTTCTTGCATGGTGGTCTTTTTCTCAAGGACATTTTGCTCAGCATACTCTTTCGATTTTTTCAGCGCCCCCTTTAATTGCAAATTTAACACTATATTAGACGTTCTTGGAATGTAATCTGTAAGTACTTAGCGAGTATATGTATTGAAATTTTATGGTATTTATCACAG